GGTGGCAACCCCAAACCAATTTTGAAGTGATTTGGTATGTATCAAGTGCTTTGATTGAAACTTGACTATCTGATACAATATAGATAGTCCTATTTTTGTAGTTTCTATCTAAATTCTTAACTGCGCATGCCTTAATGGCATACACTTCTACCAGGAATACTGTTTTATACTGACCAAGGCTGAAACTACATTTCCACCCTGTTCCATCACAATACACTCCACCTCCAGTGCCTTTATGTTGGAACCATCTGTATACCAGATTAGTCCCCCCCTTTCTATCAGGTTGAAACCCCTCTTTCCATTCACTTCTATCAGGAAATCTGATCATGAAGGGTCTATCATAAACATGTTTTGGTAGCATTTTATAAGATCCCATCTGTAGGATGGGTTCTTTTTTTCATGCCCCGAGTCATGTATGTATGTCCAAAACGTTTGGATTTAGGTCTCCATTGATCATTGCAACGTAATCTGTAATTTCCTAATTTGGCCTCTGCTTCCATCTGTAAATACAGTGGAGGGAGTCCTAGTAGGATTTCCATTGCAGCTGTTGGAGCTGTTCTCATTGCCCCCGTAATTCCCAAGCAGGCTGTCCTTTGCAGTTTGCTAAGTTCTGCCTGACCTCTGATACAGTGTGTGGGAATTTTGCATTAATTAGTATTGCTGTACATCAGCATATCCTACTGTGAAGTGGCCTGTACTGTTGAGCTATATACAGGGCTGTTCCCATTAATTAGGATTGCTATACATCAGCATATCCTACTGTAAAGTGGCCTGTACTGTTGATCTCCCAAAGAAGATCATCCACGACCAGGCTCTCCAGGAGAGGGGAAAGAACGCCCCCCTGCAGACACCCTCTAGCCGCAGACGCTCTCAGGATCTCTCCAGACAATGTAGCACTTATATTTCTGCTTTCCAGCATAGCACAGATCCATCTGCATATTGCGGGCTCAATGCCATGCCTTTCAGCAGTCTGTTTTATTGTATCAAAGAAGGTTCTGTCAGAGGCTCCCTCTACATCAGGGAATGCTCCAAGAGAAATATCCTTGTGTTCAGTAGCATTCTTTGTGCGCGTTACTACATTATGCAATGCAGTTTCAGTAGATTGACCTATTTGGTAAGCATATTGGTTTCGGTGCAGAGGATCAATTTTCAATGCACCGTCCCAAATATGTCTATTTACCACTTTCTCCATTGTTTTCAAAAGGAAAGATGATAGGCTAATAGGATGATAAGCTTTAGCCTTGGTATAATTGGGTTTCCTGG